AAATATTAGTTACTGTGTGTTTATCTGTATGCACATGCATGCATGTGTATGTGTTTATATGTATGTGTGTGTTTACACTGAACTGTTGCTCCCAATTTTAGAAATCTCTCACACATTTACTTCTGAAGTATATTTCATTTCCTTTATACAAAAGAGCCCATTCCTAGTGTCTGGCTGATTATAAATTATGTGTGATATATTTATGACATGAGGCGATTGAGAGCATGCATCTGACCATCCATTTGGGAAAAGGATCCCAATGTGTAGAAGAGGAACAGAGACAAACCTCTGACCTCTAATGTAATCTTCACTAAAATGCTTCTCAGATAAAATCCCTACACTTCAGGAGCTGATTGCCAAAGTAACCCTACAGCCCACTAAATATAAGGCAGGCTGAAATTTAAAATTTCATGCAGGAAGCAAAAGTCAATTTTCACAGATACTCTGTAGATTAAACACAAGACAAGAGCTTGGTGTCTGCCCCATATATGAAGTATGAAATCAGAAGGTGTAGCTTTTGAATTCTTTTCTGGTCAATTTATTGATTAAACCTCAAACTATCTAACCTAGTGCATGTTGCTTGGATGTCTAAAATCAGCCTTTGAACAAAATGAGAAGACTATATCCAAATAGGGAGTAGAAAACTTCAAACTACTATTGTATTTGCACTATAGCTTCTAAAAACCAAGGGACCAAACGGTCTCAGAAGGCTTTAGGGTCACATGTGCTAAACTCTATCACTTGACTTGGAGGTGCCACGTAGGACTTTCTGGCCCTTCACCAACCTAGATGGACATGAAGATCTGCTCTCTGAATAAGAGGGGAGCAACAGCAGTCCTTAGGTCCTCCTGTGTGGGATACAACGGTTCCTGAACTGCTGGTACAGGTACTTTTTTTTCCATCCTCATCATTTATCCTTTCATATCATCTCCATTCAAACAAAATCATACTTCAAAATAACCCTCATTCTGCCACTGGGAAACAGTGTGGGGTTTGCAGAAATAACAGGAACTTTAGTGTCAAAGAAAACTAAATCTATTTGAGCCCATGTTTTGCTTTTTATTATCTGTGATAAGGAGAAAGTTACCTAACTGCTTTCTGCCTCGATTTTCTTATCTGTAAATGGAGATAATATTATCTTACAAGGTTGTTAAGAGGACTAGGTGAGATAAAACATGGGAAAGTGTTTGGCACATAATGGATGTTTAAATGTTAATTCAGAGAGAGAAGCAAAAAGCAGGAGTGTTAACTGGCTTTTGGAAACAGTGGAACTTCTGGAAAAATACAGATGGGTGTCTGACTTGTTAATAAAATTTTAATTTGACTGAGATCAATGAAAAGTCCCATGTGTTGAGTACAAATACATACTCATCAGCAATCCCAAGGAAAATCCCCCAGGGTTATTTCCTTTCATTAAATAGCAATATCAGTATTGATCAACTCTCCTAACTGACCTGTGGTTTGCTTTCATACATTAAATTTCTGTTCTGCACATAGGGCACAAATCTTCAAATTGCCTTTAGTTCATAATTCATTATGTCACATTAGAAACTAAATGTAAACACAAAATCCTCACCAAGGAAAAAGTACCACTTAAGAAGCACTTCTCCTATTGTCTTATCTCCCCTCAAGCTGCCTGAGCTTCACAGATGACCTGTGCAAGGGCTAAGAGAATATCCTCACCCATCCCAGATAGGCCAACCTCTCACATATGAAATCTAAACCATCTGCATGACGAGGTCAAGGAGCAGTCCCCTCACTGAGGACCAGAAATGAACAACATACCAACAAATGAAAAGAGAATAGGCTTGATGACACAAGAAGGGCTGGAAAAATGCCAGGGCAAACATCTGCTTAATAAAGATGGTTAAAGACATGCTAATCATCTTGTTAGCGGCAGTTAAAACATTGAAGATATTCCCTTTAAAGGTAGTAGCAATATATTCTGCCTCCTGAACTTGGAAGCACTAAATAAATAAATGTATAATACTGGACGGTCAGAAGCTTGGACAGTTTGCCTCCAATTGCTGTGCCTTACCATGTTTTTCTGGAAAGTTCTCTTTTCAAGTCCTCAGATTCAACCTGCAAAATGCATTATTAATTAAAGATTTTCTTACCAGTTTATTGCCAGGGAATTGAATGAATAAATGGCATAGAAAGGCACTTAGCATCCTGAAAGTTTGAGGGCCCTATAGCTAAAGCTGTGTCTTTCTCAATCTGTGTTTCAGACTGGCTTCATTACTATACATTATTTTGTTTCTCCTGACTAAGCAGGATCCTTCCTTTGCACCTTTGCCTCTCAGTATCAAGGCAAAATTCTTGCCTCGAAGTGAGGTACTAACTAAAGCACTCTGAACAGATGGTGTTGGAAATAGTTACTATGCACCTCAAGTCCTGTCCCCTTCATATGTCAATACAAAACGGGCCTGGAATTCAGCCTCCATAATAGGTGAGAGATGGTACTACCCACATGAGATATGATTCTTCTTCCTCCTCAGTTTTCTGGACAGAAAATGACACTGGATTTTCTCAGTTATCATTTACATTAAGGGTTTAGTTTGCTTAATTCTGAGCAAGAACTATTTCCTTTGAAAGGTTTTTCCTTTAATATGCAATAATAGTGGTTTTCCATTTCTAGTAACAATACATCTTTCCTTTTATCATTGGCATTGTTATCAAAGGATCACAGTGGAATGCCCTTCCAAATTATAGTGACATTGCAGGGGTGAGCTATAGGGGAAGTAAATATAGGCTTCTGCTTTATGTGAAGATTACATACTTTTCCATATCTCTGGTTTCCTTTTTCATTCAGGTAGATTACTAGCGGGAGGAGAATATTAAACAGTATAAAATATAATTTGCAAGATTATATAAAAACTGATTATTAAAATATGCATGTATGTATGTACACGATTATTCCAGAGGCTACTCAGTTTGGTTCCTTTAGGTCATATATGAAAAACAAGGAAGAACTGACTGCCCCTGGGTCACCAAGTGAAGCAGTTACCAGGAGTATACCAACCCTAGGCCTTTCCATTTAACTGAATTTTCTTCCCATACATGTTAAGCTCATAGAAAAACAAAATAAAAGATAGAGATTAGTAACTGAGGACCAGTAAGATACAAGTAAGGATGGCAAATCCTGGTACAAGAGCTGCCACTACCCCTGCATTGCTGATTGATCTGATCCTCCTTCCTTCCTGAGCCCACACACTCAGCCTTAGATGTTCTCTCAACCCAGTGGCTTCAGGTGGCCATTCCCACGTATTACTGTTCACAGCTCACAATGTAAAGCATACTTTCTATTTCTGGTTCAGCAATTAAGTATATATGGTTTAGAATGGGATTGACCAATGTTCAAATTCCAATTATAACACTGACTAACAGTATGACCTTAAATAAGTGATTAACTTCTCTGAGCCTTGAACTCTTTTATAAAACAGAGATAACTCGATTTTTCTCCCAGTATTGTTAGTGTGTGTAAAGTGCTTAGCACATAGTAAGTTCTCAATGGTATCAATCCAATGGTCCAAAAGAATCAGTAGCTTTTCGGTAGTTTCCATTTTTCAACATTGCAACATTAGCTGTAGTAAAATGTGCATGGAGAGAGTTTTACAGAGGTATCTGATGATGTCTTAGGCCTTGGTGCTAGATTCTATATTAAAGGTAAGTATAAATTGGTCTAGGAGAGACCCGTCATCTTAGTCTTTTCAGGTTGCTATAACAGAATACCATAGACTAGGTGGCTCGTAAACCACAGAAATTTATTTCTCACAGTTTTGGATAGTAGGAGAAAGCCTTCACGAAGGCACCAATATATGTGGTGCCTGCTAAAGGCCCACTTCCTGTGTCCTCAGATGATGGAAAGGGGTGAGGGAGTTTTCTGGGGTCCCTTTTATAAGGGTACTAAACCCATTCATCAGGACTTCACCCTCATGACCTAAACACTTCTCAAAGGCTCCATCTCCAAATGCCATCATATTGGGGGTTAGGATTCAATATATAAATTTTGCAGTAATGCAAACATTCTCTCTATAGCAAGACCCCATTTAGACATAAATCTAGTTATTATAATCTGTTTGATCCATTTTCAGCCACATGCTCAGTGTCCTTCCAAACATCTGTTGCATTGAATTGCAGTTCGGCTAAAGATGGCTCATTTAGAATCAAAGAAGGCTGAAAAGTTCTTAGAATTCAGGATAGGATCAGTGCCAAAGCTGATTCTGGAGCTGAAGTGTTCTTACATTTCATCCCAGGAGCAAAAGCTGCAAAGGACAAAGAAGCCACAAGGTATAAGCAGGTCCAAGAGGCTCTTTTATTGGATATCCTTTCCAGTGACACCATTCAGCAAGAGGGAGCTAAGAGCAGTCCAGCCACACCCTAAACTAAACCAAAAATTGTTTTCATTGAAGCCTACTGGGGCTTGTTTGCAGAGCCAGAATCTGGGACAAACAGCTTGCCACATCTCTTAATGCCTAGCCTCAGCACTTATTTAATATGAGATCTATTTCTTTCCTATTAAAAATCAAAACAGTTGCAGTCACTCTTTGACATGATTTGTTTTCGTTTTTTTTTTGTTTTTTTCTGGGAAGCATTGTGCCAATGTGAGGTTGTCTGAGAGCACTGGATAGTGACATATTCAGGCTCCCATGTGATGGGGGGAGAAAAGTTGAGAGATCACTTTAAATATTTCACTAACACAGTAGTAAAATGTTTAAAGTGTGTATTGTGGTAGTGCTGCTGTTTAGTATGCTCACACTCCTTTTTTATTTCCAATAAAACTTGTCTTCTGAGGATATGCAGTCAAGAGCTCTCCCTACAATATTATTTGTAATAGATGCTTCTGAATAGATTATTTTTATTTATACTACTAGTCAGGGAGTCGTGGTAACCTGGGGAAGTGCAAAAAGTAATTTTCTTTTGAGGCAATAAAGGTAAGACCTCTCCCACCACACACACACACACACACACTCTTTAGTGCCCTTCAAGCTCTCTATCACCTGAAGTAATTAGTCATCCAAAAAGGTGTGAATATTCCCAGCAGTTGAAGCCTTCCTGCTTGTCTGGGAGGTTTAATTCTCAGATACTTAGCATTAGGAGTAACCCTGCAATGCCTCCTCTTGTCTTTATCTCTGTGGTCTGTGATCGTGTCTTTTCTCTTTCCTGGTCTTCCACGCTTTGAAAAAGAAAAAAAAGTAGATAAAGTCTAAATTTTAGCATGTTGTCTAGAGTCTATTTCCATAACATTGCATAATTATAGAGAAATAGCATCTTATGAATTTTCAGTTGTTTGCTTCCACTTCTTTTTTTTCCCCACTTACCTAAAAAAAAAAGTCCATTGGAACAGAAATCTTTGCTGCTGCCTTTGTGGAATCTTCTCACAGGCTTTCTCACAGAGATTTATGTACTTAGAAACAAACTTAGATATAAAAAAAAAATACACAGAAAGTTCTGCAAAATGTCACGGGAGGGGTCCAGTTCATTGTGTATTCTTATCACACAAATTATTCTTTTCCAGCGAGGCTGACTTCCGGCCTAGCATCTACTCAACTGGGAACTCTATGAAGGATGTAACATTTATTTTGTACTTTTTTATAGCTTGATGAATCACCTTCCTAAAACTTAATTTCTTAAAAAAATGAAAGTGAGATTTCTGAATAGTCCCTATTTAGAAATATTAGGCCATATGATGCAGTGGACAAAAGTAGACATGATGGAACCAGACTTATTACTAGGCTGTGACATTGGGCACATGTCTTAAGGACTCTGAAAATCAATTGCCTATCTGTGAAACAAGGACAATAGCAGTACCTCCTTCCTAGAGTTATTGTGAAGAGTAAATGATATGATATACAGAAAAAAACCTAGCATTATGCTTGGCATATAAAATTACAGCTATTTTTAAATTATTAAGCACTTTGCTTAATCCAGGCAATTTGGTCTCAAAAACTATAATATGGAAGGAAAAGCAAGTTCTGAACATGCCTAAGTAGAAAGGAATGTTCGATTTAGTAGTAACATAACAATTCTGTTGTTGAGAAAAAAAGAAATAACTCTGCTTCAAAACTGGAGAAAAATTTAATGTCTTATGAGAACAAGTCTATTTTTCTTCCCAAATGACTGACTTTCAGGCAGAGATGTCGAGGACAACATCCTGTGTGTGGAGGCCGAGCAGCTATCCGGGTAACACTCAAACCCAGATACCAGCTTTACCTGCTCTAACAAAAGGGCAGTGACACAGGATGTGGATGAGGAAAGGAAAGCACCTCCCATGTGTTGTTTTATTTCATTGCTTAACCCATCACTTCACTTACTTCCATCTTATGTTGGGGCAGATTTACATGTAGCAATCTTACAGCCTGTGGGAAGCTAATTAATAATTCGGATAAAGTGAATGCTTTTGTTTTCACAAGGGTATTGTAGATCAATCAAAAACATCCAGTTCTGTTGGAATAATACATTCTTTTACAGAATTAGAGAGACTATAAAATCCACATCGTTTGTAAAACCAGAATTGGATTAAAGGCAAGCAATTAATCTCTGCTTTTTCTTTTCAGGGGCCTAAGATATAAGTATCGTACAATGTTGAAATTATTTAAAAATTGTATCCCATTCCCTGTATAAGAGACCATCCCAATTAAATCCTAAATGTCACTGAAGGGTCATAAATGTGCAACCAATCTAGCAAAGCCAGGTTTTAATTACCTTTTACACTAACTCTGAACTTGAGAAACAGTTCCAGATCTTGTCCCATTTGACCCAGCGAAAAAGTAAGACAGTTATTAATGTTCCCATTTGAGAGGGAAGGAAACTGAGGACAAAAAGTTAAGGGTCTTACCCAGAGATACCCAGCAGGTGGCAGGGCCAGATTAAATGCAAGTCTCTAACTCATAGTCCCAATAATATCCCGTATGTGCAGACTTTCCAGGTGTTACAAGCCATAATAATGCCTTCCGTCAATGTTATGTCCCATATTTGGAAAACTCCCCACTTATCTCTTGGCCCAGAGGACAAAGCAATTCAGGCAATATCAAACCACCAGAAGTCTTTCTTATGACAGGTAGATTTCTGCCTATGTGTCTTCCTGGTAACTAAGAAATAGTTAGCTACTCCTTATGATAACTCCATGAAGATTTTGGAAATCTACCACAAAAGTTCTGATTTGGGAAATTATATTCTGGGTTCTGATTAAGCAAGCTTTGGGTAAAAACCACCGATCTGCACTTTATACTTACATACATTTAATATGTAATATATATTATATAGTACTATATTTACAATGTATATTCAATATTTAAATATTGTTACATATGGCTCAAAATTCAAAAGACACAAAATTAGATATCATTTTTCTGTTCCACCTCTGTCTCCCATCTACCCAACTGCTTCCTCTTTTTGCGAATTTTATCTTGTTTTATACTCAACATACCTGCCTTGAAAGCCTTTGGGGAAGGAAAATATACTTCTCAGAAGACGTTAAATTCTCCCACAATTTTGAAGCGGAGTGATTTCTTTTTGGCAACAGAACTGAGTTACTACTAAGTCAAGTAAACAATATCATCTTTGTATTCTTCAAAAACATTTTATTCACATATAGGCAAAGACGTGTTTAAGTATTTTTTCATATTTTACAGAAATGTCGATCTTCACTGTAAATTGCCTCTACAGATGATTCTACAGTCAGTCTTCAAATGATCACTCAACTCCTCCAGAAAGAACATTCACTCTTTTAGAACACAGGAGTTCATCAGATATACCTGCATGCTTATTGAAACACAGATTTGGGGGGCCCCATACTTTGAGAACCCTAGTCTAAGGCAACATTTATCGGGTTCTACACTAACGGCTTAAGTTAATTGCTGTTCTAAAATATATTAGTGGCCATAAAAGCAGAATCATGTGGTACTTAGTAAGTGGCAGACACAGCTCTAAGCACTTGACATATGTTAACTTGTTTAAGCCTGCAACAATTTTATGAAGTAGGTACTGTTACGGTCCCATTTTACAAAGGTAAGATTGAGGCAAACAGATTAAGTAACTGCCCCATTTTAATTCTTTCAGGTGGTAAGTGCTAGGACCAGCCTGATTCCACACCCATGGACTTAACCATCCATCTATGCCACCTTTCTGCCCTCAAAATGAGGCCTAATAGACACTGGCTTCCATATAATCAGCACCAAGTTTGATTGAGAACTGCCTTTCTTTACTATGCAACTATCAAATGTGAAAATACAAAAGACAAATAGGTACTTTTTAAAATAGAAATCTTTTTAAGACAATAAAATTTGTGTCAGATTTCACCTATAATGAATTTAGGAAATTTTTGATGCACTTGCAGCCTTTCAGAACTGTCAGAAACAGTTTTATGAAATGAGACATAACAGTGTTTAACAGTAACCCAATAACAAGGTTTAACAGTACAATGTATGTATTACATTTGGTTACATAAAATTTACGTACAAAATTATATACATTATATAAAAGTGTCTTAATATATATGGAGCTATTTAATTCAAAACAGTAGGGTCCAGGTACTGTGTGTGCTGGATCCCACTTGTATCAGCTTTGCAAGAGTCAACTGTTAATTTTCCACAAATTTTATAAATGTGCTGATATCATATTGTCAGGCAGAAATTGATCATGGTAGAAAATACTTATATCATGGAAATCAGCAAAAGATAGAAAACAGGGCTTCCTCAGTCCTTGCTCACCCATTTACCCCACCCTTTGGAAAGCCAGTTGTTAAGTATTTACCACTATTCCAAGCAGGTCTTGAATCCTAAACCAAATTCTACATAGTAAGGACTTTTAAAAAAGAAAGATACTTTAAATAGTGCATTACTAAGACTGGCACATTAAATAGCATGTTAATCGCAGTATTGAGTTCTTAACTTCAATCACTAAATTCTTGCCAGTAACCAAAAAATGTGAATTAGACACACAGAATTTATCTCTCATCCCTTTGCTATTAAGGATATAAATATTTATTTCTGCACAGTCCTTAAACACATCATGAGGAAAAAAATGCCTCTAAGTCCTCACTGTGATATTCCTAGGATGCAAATCAGAGGTCTAGATTTTTAATAACTCCTCTGGCAACAGGATGAACAATGGGGAGTATGTCTGGGGCAGGTTTGATAAGTTAGCATTGTGCTTTTAACCTGCCTGTCTTTAACCCTTATAGCAGGTATTTCCTAAAACCAAGTAGCATTTTGGAATTTTCTAGAATTTAAATAGGCTTGGAATTCATCAAACAGGTTAAAATTATTCTTATACTTGCCCTGTCGACCCTTTCTTTCTCTAAGGTGATAAGAAACTTTAACTTTTTCTTTTCTCATCTTAGTGATGGCTGAAATACTGAGTAAATTAAATGACTTTAAGGTATTTTAATTACCTACTCCCTGTTTGTTAAGCCCAAATGTTTATGGTCAAAATGTCCATTCAGTAATCAGAAGGAATACTGGCTGCTTTTGTCCTGGTAACACTTGAAGTTATGATAAGCCCTGAATAAAAGCATGCAATACCGGGCGGTAATGAACACAGTCACGGTGACTAGCATTGCATGGACTGTGTTGCAGGTTCTTCGAGGGAATCCACATTATCCAAGTAGTACCTGCAGGACTTTGGTGACTCAATAGGAATGTGACTGTGCCCTGTGTTTTTCAGACTTTCCTACCTCCTTCAAAACTACACCAACACCATAGCACTCAAAAGCCCCCTAAAAAACCTTTCTCTAAAGACCTGTTATGACCCCTAATAAGACAGTGCAGAAAAATAAATGGTCTTCAATTACAGGTCTTTTCTGCAATCCCAGGAAGTGTGGAGAGGGCCCATCATGGAGGATTGCAGCTTGAGGTAGTATCTCTCCTGAACCCCTAACATGCCAGCATGTGATCCTCATCCTCTCAGGGCCATAAAGTACAAAGCCACCTCTCTCATCACAGTTCCCAACTGTGTGTTCGCACAGCAATTGTGATGGGTATGAAAGTCATTTTTTATCAATAACAGCTTGAGCGTGGAAATTTGAGAAATGAAGCCTATTAACAAGCAGAATGAACCACTGACTCCATATAACACCATCATTTTACTTACTCCTGAGTCCATTTGTACTCTTTAGTAGAAGTGAAAAGGGTGGAGTTAATCAACATATTTTATCTATCCCACAGACTCATAATC